TAAATATATTATAAATAAATGTAATACAAATCCAAAGATCTAATAATTTTAGATATGAATTATGCATAAGAATACTTTTTATGGGAGGCTTTTGGGTTAAACTTTTTAATGGTTAGATATCTATACTATTACAACATGAGTGCCGAATTGCAACGAAAAATTTGGTGATATTATAAATCAAAATACACAAATGTGCGAATACACAACAGTCAACAGCTGAAAAAGTAGGAGGACAGGTCAAGAGACCGCCTAGAATCGCGACTAGCAACGCTAGAATAAAAACTCACAACTAAACTAACCAACTACTCAAACAACTAGAACAACTAAAGAAAGACCCCAACATGGTAATACCCGAATGTCGGATCCCCACAGGATAATAAGTTTGACACTCGGGCTCACAGGGGCCAACGACCCAAATAAAAAATACAAGACACGCACACACAATTACAAAAACAGAAAACAAGAACACAACTAATCTAAATAAATCTAACAGCCCTTCCCCAGCGATCGAGCAAGCCTGAACCAGCAGTGAACGATCAACACAAGACAAATCCAGGCCAATAACCTGCTACCGAAACTGCAATCAAGCCTATACAATAGCAAAAACCTAACCTCGAAAGAGTCCCTGAATCAACCCATCGACAACCGAGAGAGCTAGAGTCCACCACACACTGATTCCATCCAAACTCTTCTAACACCACTAGACGCGGCTGATAGAACCTCCCCCGCCGCCTAACACCACTAGTCAAACGGGGAATTGTGCAAGAGAAAACGACCCCAACCCCAACCGCCGCAACAAGGAAAGCTGCGGAGATCGGAGTCCCACCCCACCCTATGGTCGCACTCCACCCGTCACCACCACGGACATCCAACAAAATGCGGCCCAGGCCCCACCAGAAAAGGTGAAACTCGCCAAAAACAGCCAAATCCGGCAATTACTGACAAAGAAGATAAAACAGGGCTTACCGTCACAAATCGCTGCTCCGCCGACAACTGAAAAGACTCCAATCGCTGGCCTTACTTCAACCTCGAGGTGCGCCACCGCCGTCCGAAAATCCATCAGCAACCGCGAACCTGAGACCTCCGTCAATGAACCATTTGTAGCAGCAATAGGGGCGCACTTCGCTGGGGGGTGTTGTTATGCGATTAGTAACAACGATCTAATGGTTGATTTATTTAAGTAATATCTATGATTTGAACGTAAAGTATGCATAAAATACTCAACAATGGCCCCGGTCCGAGGTGAACCGAGGTGAAAAGCTCTCGAGAGCTGTTTCGTGTTTCATAATGAAGATGTTCAGTTCGGGAATCGAATCTCGTATAGGTACTATCAGTTCGCTATTTATAGTAACTTTTTGATACACATATCGGGATTCGTGCATTGCTTTTTCTATAAAGCTACTTTTTGATGGGCGGCAGGATCAGTGGGCCCCACTTGAATGATAGCAGATCTCGTAGTTTGTGAGAATGGTGAGTAGGCGCCTTGTCACCTACTTTAGGAGGTGGCGACCTCGGTTCGTGTTTGATCTCGGTTTGGGATGACCTCGGTTGGAAATAATCACTTCGGTTTTCTGTGGTTATACCGGTTTGTCGTATAGAACCGGGGTGACTTTGGATCACGTCGGCGTAGAAGTTAAATTTGTCTAAAATGCTGGTTAAGACTCATAATAGTGAATTACTGAGTCGGATGATGACAGAGAGGCCCCCAATATTGGCGGGCATACGGAGTGATGGTCGTCGATATTGCAAAGCAATTAAAGACTTCGAATCGGTAGGACACTGGAGGCCAGAAATACTCGTCCTTGTCCTCGATGTTCCAAATAGATGCGAGGTGACCGAAGTGGATTATGCTTTCCGAAGTGGGAGCTGATCCCGAGGTGAGAACACTTGGCGAAAATTGATTGTAAATCTGGACAGTAAAGGGAGGAATCTGAAAGACGTAACGGTCGACGATTTAATACTCAGTGTGAAAGGTCGCGCCGTAATGGTCTTAAATGAAATAACGGTCGTCTTTAATAGGATGCCACGTGTACAGTAGGTCTTTTATCAGTTGAAGGGATGGCACCGCTTGGAATTAGAGGTCGAGTCGGTTGCACGCGCCCCCAATTGAGGCCCTCAACGGTCGGAAATTAGAAATTATAAATAGGGCTTCACAATTTGCAATCAAACTTTCTTCACTTTGCATTCATCTTTAAATTCTTGTAAACTGCTAGCGCAATTCTTCTGCGAATTTGTGATTCCTTCTTCGTGCGTGATTGTCTGCTCATTGATTCTTTGGTAAGCTTTATTGTTGATTTTATTCTATTTCCTTGTTCTACGTTTTCTTTTTGTTCGATGTCGTCGAAAGGAAAGGGTAAGGCTGTAGCGAGTTCTTCTAGCTCGGATTTGGTTCAGTTGGAGGTGTACCATGATTCAGAATTGGTCGAACTAGCCTTCGAATATTATCGGTGGGATCCGATGTTGGTGAGGCACTTAGATATCAAGCCAAATGATGAGGACGACGACTGTGTGGTCGAGGAAAATGCGGCCGAAATCGAGGTGCCTCACTGGAGGAGGCCGGTGAGAAAATGGCCTGATCCCGCAGTTGATTTTGAGGGTGAACCGAGTATTCTGACCGACGCCGATGTGGTGATGCTACGAGAGCAAGTTCGGATTCCACCCTCGATGAAGATTTTTGCTCCGTATCCTGGGGAAAGAATAACAAGTCCTCCTTCCGGCTGTGTTGGCGTTTTTGCGGAGAGCTTGAGGTTGGGATTGAGATTCCCGTTGCCGAATTTGATTA